TTAAAGTTCAGTCAGTGAAAATGTATACCGAAAAAGAAATAGCAAACAAGAAATTTTATAAAACGCTTAGAAATTGAACCGGAAATTAAGGCCAGGACTGTAGAAATATGATACTTGAGAGCAAAAGCCTGAACTTGTAATTATCATTTGTAATTTGGTGACCTGTATAACCGGAAATAAATCGAAAATAAGCCTTTTTTTTATGTTGCTGTCCTGGAAATTCTTATACCGGATTTCCCGTTCAAACAGGGTAATTTTCTGCTTTCTGCCCAACTCTTTCGCCTTTGTTATCTCTGCTGAACTGTTTGCATAAATCAAAACTCTTTTCATTTCCCGCCCCGGCTTCTGAATACACGCTTTCCCATGTGTGCCATTCATTTAGTTGTGCATTCAATTTTTTTTTTTTTTCACATATATGTATATATAAATGTCTTTTTTTGGTAAGGCCGGAACCATGATTTAGTGCCGCAACTAGCTGCTGGCTGGGCCAGGCTTAATGATGTCAATCGGCGCGTGCTTTGGCTTTAAACTAAGGCCGCATATTTGCCAAGTTTATTTGGCCAGAAAAAACAGAATTGGGGGCCCGCACACATTCATCATAAATGTGGATGAGATACGAGCCGGGACGAGGATGAAGGATGAGGGAAAGGTAACATGGAAAAGCAATCGACGGGCAAGGGGAGCGCATATTTCACGACCCATCTCCAAAAAAGGTTCACAAGTGCGCTGATATGCGAAGAGATGCTTGCCAAAAAATTACATGGACCATTGGTCAGCGGCAGCAGCAGCAACATCAGTAAAGGCAACGAGCAACCAGCAACATGGCCCGCAGCAACCCTTAAACAACATCCCCCTTCCCCCGACTCCCTTTCACATTCACACACACACACACACTCACTCGTATATTCATATACGAAAGGAAGAGAAAAAAAAACACCTTTGATGTATGTAATTTTGTTACCATTTTTTATGCCTCTCATTCCAATGGCATTTTGTTGTTTTGTTTCGTCCACTTTTTGGCCATAATGCTGAGCCGCCTCCTCTCTGCGGGTGTCTACAGCTGTGGTGAACAAAGTAGTTTAGCACTTAACAGACAACTAAGATGTGGTCATTTCCATTTGTCAGTTGGTCTTTTGGGGGAACTTTAAGGGCCATAAGAGAAAGCAGAGAAAGGTAGCCAAAACAATTTACATTTGTTTTATAACCTGACCGACCATACATACTTGCTGTGGTTTTTGTATGGAAAGAGGGGAGAGATTTCTAGTTCTTATAGATTTGCACACCTTCATCTCAAAAGTATTCATCACTTTATTATAATTAATTTATCGAATTTAATGGTAAAGCTGATTTCTAAATAATAAGAACTTTCAACATTAAAATATTATTTGTTATGACTCATTATATAATATATATTCCAGTTGCAATTCTCTATACAATTCTAAATCATAAAGAAAATCATATTTCCGGTGGATTTGCTACTTTAAAATATCATAGCATACTTTTATATATTTCAATACCATTATACCTTCAAATTCTTACAATTTTCACTAATTTTTTGGACACAACTGTATGAAAATGTGTGTGTCCCTCTGAGAGTGTGCGCCGCTCTGGGTGTGTGTGTGTGTGTGTGTGTGTGTCTGTGACACAGAAAGCCAGTTGTGCGAGGTGCGAAGCTGTGACGTAAGCAGAGAGCCAAAGCAGCGGAGCACTGGCCATCAAATTGGGTTACCAAAAAAAAAAAAAAAAAATGGGAAAATGTAGAAAAATCCTGGGTGAGAAAAGGATGGCGGAATGATACATTTTTTTTTCTCAGTGGCTCCCGCCGCCACAAGGGAAATGAGATTTGCGCCTCAGAGCGGCAACGTGTCAGTTTCAAAAGCGGAGGAGAAAATACAAAAAAAAAAAAAAAAAACAGCAGCGAAGGATTAAGGATAACAGCGGGCTAGCTGGTGAACTGAACTGAATTTTATATTGCCAAACACATAAACATTTATGTATGTATGTGTATTTGGGCCAAAGTCCAGGTGATTGATTTGATTGGTTGCAATTGCTGCTTGACATTCATATTCCTCTCCCATAAATACTTTGTTCTGACTTTATCAGTACACGAGTACATGGAAGCAATATGAACTAATTGGCCATCAACGGAATGAAAAGTTGAAAAACTTTTGACACCGATCGCAAACTTCAGACGAAGATGAAGTTGTTTATTGACTTTTTTCTTCCTCCCCACGGATGGGCGAAGGAATTTGCTTGGGACTAATTGAATTATGGCTATCCTGTGAAGCTGCTCCTTTCTGCCTTTTCGAAAATTGTCATTGGCCGTCAGTCGGTCATCGAATAATTATCGCGTTGTAGACAATTTTCCACCAGGGGACGCAACGCACTTTGACCTTCGCTCCCAAGGAGCAGAAGCTTAATTACATTGAACTAAATTCTAAGAGGACAGGGCACAGTTCGCTTAATAAGTATTCGCCTGGCGACAGAGACAGACTGGCACAGCGATTGGCGCAATTCCCACAAGCTGACAAACTCATCAAAAATTTCACAGCCACTTGGGAAGGCAGAAAAGCGCAAAATTTTTATTGTGTTTTCATTAGAGGCGCGCAAATGGTCAAAAAGAAACGCACTAGCAAAAAATTCTTCACATTTGTCAAGGATTATTTATATAGCCTCTATTGATTTTTAAAAGATATTAATTAAAGTTTATAGAAAATACTGAAAAAGGACATTAAATTGTCTATAATGTACAATGTTCAAAAATATTGAAATTTGGAAAAGAATTTTTTAAGAATTAACCTTGATTTTCAGCAAAATTTATTTAAAGTTCAAAGTAAATATTGGAAAAGATCGCAATTACAATTTGTCACTACAAGTTTAAATTATAAAATTTGAGTCATTTTAATGTGTTTTGTTACCTGTTATAACTATATTTTGTAATCACAATTGGTAACTTATGCAGTTAATAAAGATTCTTGGATTTATTTTATTTTATAAAATCAAATTGCTCATTATTTCTCCAAGTGCATTGAGTTAAGCAAAGCAAACCGCCATCGCCTAGGACACTCTTAGGGGGCGTGACCAAGCGGGAGGAGTGGTCGGTGTGGCGGGTGTGGAAACTTTGAACAACTCTGACCAAACACCCAGACACGCGCGAGAAATGGGCATAAGGAATGGAAAAGGAGGAGGAGCTGGAGCAGGAGCAGGAGCAGTAGCAGGACGAGGAGACCGAGCTCCAGCTCGATTTGAAGCTGGAGAGAGGCAGGATGGCGCGAAGGAACCTAATGAACAAATGAACAGCACACAGATACAGATGTGTATCTCACTGTTTGCATATACATACATTCATATACTTGTACTCTGTACATAGTTAGATACAGATGGCCGAGCACTTTTTGGGGCGGCAATACTTTAATCTCAAGGGCACGTTTCCGGAAATAAATAAATAAAGCTCCTTGGCAGAAAGCAAAGCAAACCAAATGCCGCTTTCTTTTTTTTAAGCCATAAAGCAAAAAAGCGAGGGAGAAAAGCTTTTCGACATAGAAATTTCCACCGTTAGCTAGGGAAAAGGAAATTCTCTAAAATTTTAATGATACAAAATATTTGCACAAGGAATTCATCATATTTCCCACTAGCAATTTTCATCATCTTGGTTGCTTTTTTCATTTTATTTTTTGTTTTTCTGTCTGGCCAGCCAGCACTTGAATTTGTAATTTAAAATTAATTAAAAAACACAGTTGGTTGTCGCCTTCTTACCCCCGAGTTGAGCTAAGGTGGAGTTTTGCTGCCGACAGACCGACTTGAAATTTAATTCAATCAGAAATACTGAAATGGCAAAAACTCGTTTATTCGTTCGTTTTCTAGAGAAACATTCACAGAGCACAGATTAAAGCTTTTGCCTTTGCAATCAGAAATCTATTTAATTTTTAATATATACTATGAACTTTAAGCTTGAGTTCAAGGAAACTTAATATTTTATGTAGTTATTTACTCTCAAAATAATTCAAATTGCACAAAAATTGGCAGAAAAACAATCAAATAAAAAAAAAAAGCAAATATCAAAGGGAAATTTATAAGTATTTAAAATGCATACATAAATAATTGTAGACACAAGGGGTATGGATGTGGCATTGCGGTTGTTAATTATAAAGGACAATAAAAAACTTAATCCAAGGCGCCAGATAGGACAAGTTCTTCTGCAGGGTCCGTGTAATTAAAAGGAAAACTTTTGTGTTTCGCCAAGTCATCGATAAATCAAAGTGAAACAAGAGCCGAACCTCCATCCTGTTCCCTGTCCGCTTTCGTCCTTTCTCCGGGTTTCCCTTCCCTCCCGCTGAAACAAATCGCAGCTCGACAGCCGACGACAGCTGATTGATGATCCGCAAAATTACAAATTACACACAAATGTTATCCGGGAAGGAATTCGGGAGATAAAAATCAGAGGGACCCAGCAACAAACAAAACACACGCCACCCAATTCACTTAAGGCGTTGCACCTTATTTGCTTTTGCCCGAAATGAATGAAATTGATTGATTGTGTTTCATCAATGTAAATGAACGGGGAGCCGCAATTAATACAAAATCCAAAATCCATGATAAATGTGCTCATAATTATCGAATTTTGAACTGTTTGAAAATGGGGAGCGAAAATCAAACATACGCCCCAGTCGTGGGAAATTAAACAGCAGCTGGTATACACACACATTTTTCCCCCGTCCTTCCTGTTTTGCCAGGACAAACAGTGAAAAAGCTTTTCAAAAATATCAAATTTCCGCTTGCATTGAACTCAGTTTGCGATGCCTGTCAAAAAATGCCCGAGAAGATGCTCGGAAAAGCGTTTTGGGTCTGAACGAAGTTCATAAATGATTAGGAACAAGGAAACGACATAAACTGACAAGGTTTTTCTTAGAAAATTGGTGGGGATGGGGGTTTTAAAGAACATTGAACATAGACAATAATTTCTAGACATGATGTGAATATACTAAGAAAGTCACTAAAAATAAGGTGGAATGTTAACATACAATTTATTAGGCGTAAACCGAGTCACTATTAAACATGATGGAATATTTGTAATCAAAGGTGTGCTGTTCCGTTTCAAATCGCCGAAAGCGCTCATAATGCTGGCCAAACATGAAGGCCTCAATTTGGTATAGTCGAAAAACTTTGAAATTCTGCTTCGAATCAAATCGGCTGTCGTGAGCACTCCGACAATTTGGGGGAATATCGTGGTCGTTTACCTTTGCCAGATCCATGTCGCATGGCGTGTGCAACCTCAGAAGTTCTTCGGGCGATATTTCATCTTCTTTTTCTTGTTCTTTTTCATTTTCATTTTCTTTTCCGGTTTCGGTTATTCGCTTTTTCCGCGCAATATGCCTTATTGTATAATTTAATATGGCCGCAGACATTGGAAATTCGTTGAATAACGAGTTCTGTTCAATGGCATCCATGGAACCATTTTTCGTAATGTTAGTCCTCTCGATCTGGATATTTTTTGTAAAGTTACTTTTATTGATCTGAACAGGAATAGGTGGTCGTTGAAGAGGAATAGGCCGGGCATTACCATATCTATACAACTGCAATGCGGAATTTAATATTATCCCTTCATATGCATAGAAGAAATCGAATTACTTACAATTTGCAATATTATGACCAGGAAAATTGTGTTGATGATCATTATTTCGTGTAGGTGTGTCTGAGTTATTTGTGTACAATAACGTATAACACAATGACTATGACTACGTGATCCTATAAGGTTTCTAACATTGATGTCTTTTGCTTATTTAGAATTTAGTACGAGTGTAATAATGCAAATATCAATGTATTATATTAACAGCCTAGTTTATCTTGAAAAACATATTCAAGGCGAGATTGTGCGGTTTGTATTGTGTTGTATTCATACATTTAGTAATTTAGATCCCAAGTTACATTTTGTATTCTAACAATTGTATTTTTGATTATTAAAGCATTGTCTTATATAGTATCTCCTTGCGTTGCCCATCCAGAAAATAATCAGAATATACTCATAGAGGTAAGGAAAACAGCGAGGGGCTTCTAGGATATATTTCTAAGTTCATTGCAATACATGTAAGTCCATAATTAAAATTTTGAAATGATTAATAATTTTTGTACGATTATTAAACATTTTAATTGTAATCGTAGCTATGGGGCTCGAGTTCGTAACGCTTTAGACGCTCATGATACTGGCCGAAAAAGAATGCCTCCAATTGATAGGTCTTGTAGATGCGGTAGTTTTCTTCACTCTTATAGCGATTATTGTAGGCCCAAATGCACTGACGGGGGAAGGCGGACATATAGCTCTGGCCACCCCTTTGGTCCATATCGCATGGCAAGTGCTTTGTCCGGAAATCCATTGGAATCGCAGGAGCTGCCCTTGCCGTGCGGCTAAGGTGTCGTAGTTGTGATGGCATAGCCGGAGGTGCCTTTTCGAGTGTAAGCGGCAGGCTTCTGGCCACTATTCCAAACGGCAACTATGATTTGAAATTTTTCCCCCTGATTATTAACATCTCAAATATCCTTTCTCACTTACCAATGCGCCGTAAATGACGAGAATAATAACCCGATTTAGCGGACACATCATCGTGTTTATTGGGGAAGTAAAGTAAACTGATTTGTATGAGGGGGGAATTAAAAGGTAATGAATGTATTGGCAGTGCCTACACTGCTGTGTTTATAACAAATCATTGTTCTAGTTAAGAACTACACTAGAATTTATATGTAAATCATTCGAAGGGAAATATAATTTCATAACAAGTTAATAACAAACTTATAGAATTCTACAAGAAACTTTACCACCTTTCCAAATAGAGATAATATATAATAGCTGTTCCTAGAATAGCCTCTGTTTAACTTTATACTATATATAGAACCAACATCATCTTTGTGGCAGCATCAATTACGAATGGAGGGGGAAACAGGACTCACTGCACTGACAGTCGAAAGGATGTCGGGATATTAGAGCGTCCAAGGACTCGCAGCATGTAAAGTGACAGCCAAGTGTCACACAATGGCCGACGCTGATAATGACCAAGAGCGTCTGCCATATCGATTCATATTTATATATATACATATATATATGGCGGTGATATGTGAGAGCCAAGTCGAGCGGCAGCATTTCAAGTGTGAAAATAATATGACAGCAGTAATCAAGGCGCTGATGGCAGAACTAACCCCTCTCTGGCTCCTCCCCCCATACCATACCATATTGATTTCAGGCTGAAAGGCTGCAGGAAATGGGCAAAAATATCTGGCGGAAATGTTGAGCTAGAATAGGGAGCAGCAGCTTCATAGGGGAAATGGAATGGGGCAGACATAAGCGAGGGAGACCGACTGTTAACACATGTCAGTGGGCCATAATTGCAAGGGAGGCTGTGGGGCAGTGTTGTTGTGTTGCTGCGAAGTGAATTTCCAGCTACAGAGAGAGAGGAAGAGTGAGATTGAGCTAGACCAAGAGCAAAATGAATGACAATTGTTTTGACACGCATGTTTTGGCAGCAGGCAGAGGGGGCAACTGTCAAAGCTATAAGCTTGCAGCGAGAGCGTTAGAGAGGAGGCATGCCACAACGCAACTTAATTGAATTTTTAAGGCCCCATCCTGTGGATGAGATTTATGGGAAATTCATTTAATCGACCATAAGACATATCTCTATTAAGCCAATATAGCCAGATTATTACTAGTTTCTAGTTTAAGGTTGGTTTTCCCATATACATATATATATACGATTGAATCACTTCCTATATATGATTCATTTCCATTTCATAGGTATAGTTACCAAAACCAGTCTCTACTTCCAACAGTTTAAGGAATTAAATCAATGGAAAATTAATTAAATTAAGTATTCATTAAATTTTGGTCAAGTTTGAGTATGCTTTCTGCGGCCTGTCTATCTTGTGGCATTGCGGCAAGCCAAGGACAGTCGACCTGGGTGACACCTAAGCCACAGAGTCTTTACCACCCCTCTGCCTTGGCAACACTAAATGCCTTAACAGTTAATTTTGCATCCAATTAAGCCCGGCAATTGTCGAGGGTCCAAGGAGCGTTTGCTTCTGCTTATGACATCTCGACCTCAGGACCCCAAAATATCCACCACTCAAATTTCAATCTCAGCTTTGGTCTGAAGACCCACAACCCAAAGGCTTTCGAGCACCGCGAACGCTTAGACCGATGGGACCTGGATACGTGGAATGCAAATATTTCCCCAGCGAATTGTGTGTACCTGCTGCAGATGCAATTTCTGGGCAAATGGGACGCTTAATTAAAGCCAAGCACATGGAGAGGCCCAAGGGCTGAGATGATGGAGATGAGGATGAGGATGCTGAGCCGGAGGATCCGGATGAAGGTGGCCTGTCACTCACTCAAAGGCGGCTGTGAAGGCCGTCCAAAAGATTGACGATTGCCGAGGTTGCACAAGGTAGCTGATGGATGTGTCTGCTTGGCACTTTTGCACTGCCAACTCCCTTTGGGCCATTCGGCACCCTTTTTCGTCGGGCAGAAGAGTCTTTACAGTCGTGGTCATAGGAATAGTTCGATAAGACAGTTACTTTCAAGAAATAAAGTTATATTTAAAGAGCTGGTCACATACCAGTTGCAACTTTAATGCTAGAATTTCAACCGCTGCTGTACAAGTCACACATGCATTAGAGCCCCGGTAAGTTCCATGGCTCGCTGGCGATAAACCTTGATCCCGGCCGAAGTTGCATGCCGGCGTGGCAATAACTTGTAGCTGTCAATGTTGGGGCCCTCTCCCGTTACCCGGACTGCGACTATAAGCGCATTCCATCTTCGACTTTGCCAATAAAGTGAAATATCCTTTCATGAAACCCCGCCATTGCCGTCCATGCAGCTCCTTCGTGGCTGCTGTGTTGGCACATATTCTCGCCTGCTGTGCCAGCAAATTTGTTGCAGGACTCCGGGTAAAACAGCAGCTTCAACTACATGTACACCGAGCGAATAAATTGGCAGGAAATTAAATGTAATTGCAGATTAAAAATCACTGTAAAAACAGATGTGTACATTTTACATTTTCGAATTAAAGTAAATGCTTACTGTAGTCTCAATTTAACGTTTTAAATGAAATAAATTATTAGCTCGATTCAAGGTCTAAAAAGTCTGTGATTTCAGTACGAATTGAAACTGTAAAACTAAGTATTTTCTTTCAGTTTACAACTACAATTGCCATTGAAGCTGTAGCTTTAGCTGAAGCTGCATCTGAATGTGAAGCCTTCCCCCTCATACGCACACAATCCTAGCATTTGTGTTCCCTTTCTTTACTCCAAGTTGTTTTTCATTTTCATTTTGTTTTTCTTTTTTTTTTTGTATTTTTTTCTTTTGCCCGCTTTTCGCACGAAACGCCGCGACCCTTTTGTTTATATGCGCTCTGTCGAATCACAAAAACTGTAGCGCCATCAGTACGGATTGGGTGGGTTTTTGGTGGGCGGAGGGGCGGGGATGGGTTGTGGATAAAGATACGAGGATGCGGAAGGGGAAAACTGCAGGATGGATGCCACGGATGCGGGCACCTTGCACAAAGGCGAAGGCACCAGCTTTGGTCCGAACTAAAGCGCAGCTAACAAAATGTTTATGTGCCACAGGGTCTCAGTCAGCCAGTGGTGGGAAAAATACCATTTTAACCCAGGTAGAGTACACAATGGTTTCCCCAAAAGAAAAAAAAAATATAAAGATGGTACGATCTAGTTTTTTTTTTAAGGAAAGTTAAAGATTATGGAGGTTTTGAATTAAATTTAGTGTTTAAAGTTCTTAAATATTATGAGAAATGCTAGTATATATATTTGATATGTTTTACTCTGTAAGTACTCTAAAAAGTATGCTATAATATTTTCTAAGGAGAAGGATAGAGGTTATGAAATGCTTGAACAAGTTTTAAATAAATTTATGGTGTTTAAAATCCTTAAATATTATGAGTAATGCCAGTATATATATTTTGTGTTTTAATTTCATCTGTAAATACCATGAAAAGTATGATTTTATGAATTGAGTTTTAAAAACTTTTTAACAGCATTATTGGTAGTCATTTTTATGTGGTTCCCAGAGCTTGCCAATTGATTTTAAGGCATTTAAAGTCTAATCAAAAAATTAAACATATGGGTGATTTTAAATAGAAATTCTTTAAAATTCCAGAGATTATAAAATAATAAATCTCCCGATTCGATCAAGGTGAAAGGTATTGGATGTTAAGTGAATTTTGGATAGGAAGTAGTGATTGCAACCGACAGACATGTATCCAGATACAACATTCTAGCAACCTCCCATCGCTGGCCTCCGAAAGGCGTTGTAATGGGTGGCTCTGTGGGTTGGGTGGCGCTGGATTTCGCCGCTGGCTTACTGCTCACGTATGTACAGTTATAAATTGCAGTTCGTGCGCCACGTTTGCCCGGTTGCCAAGATGCGGGGGGAAGATGCACGGCATCCACAAAGGGAAGGTGGATATTCACTGTTAGTTGAAGCTGCTGGTGGCTTGCTTGCTTGTGCTCTCCTTGTTTTTGTTGTTTTTTTTTTTTGCTTTTTATTTTAGCTGTTATTCTTAGAGGAAGAGATGAGAGAGAGAGAGAGAGAGGAAGTGGGCGAAAGTTTGTAGCCCCAAGCCAAAAGGGGGCGGCAGATGATAGTCGTTGTTGTAATAAAATTAACAAAATACCCAAAGCTTAACAACAATTAAATATTGTGTGCAACAACCGCAATACACATTTCGAAAATCGCTAAATTTCGTATTAAATTGCTCAATTATACATTTTGCGACCACAACATGGGGGGTACGGCAATGATAATTGCATATAATAACGAGAAAAAAATTGGAATCGATATAAGATTAAAGCGCAATAATAACACACGAATTAAAATAAAAGAAACGCAGACCGAATAAAATCGAAGAGGGTGGAGCAGAATGAGGCAGGCAGGCAGGCAGCCTGCATTAATTTGCATGGAAAATGTGGCAACGAGTCGAGGCTGATATAATTGCACAAATGGGGCTGCAATGAGGACGATCGAGGGGATGGTTCTGCCGAGCATATCGATGACGTAGGCCAAAAAAGGGGAGGAAAACGCAACGGAATTTAGCACAATGCAATTGGGGATGAGGGTGGAGTTATTGGCAAGCGTTATTTACTTTTGCATTAAATGCGATTTTCAACTTTATTTAACCCTGATACTTGCCAGAGGCGTCAATTTACGGTATGTTGTGTTTGGCAAACATGTTTTCGTTTGACTTGTTTTGATCTCAGAGTATGGATTTTGTGTATGTAAAATGAAATAATTTTGCGGGTGGTTAATTTATATATTATCCTGGAATTACACATAGTACAAAAGCTTTAAATTTTAACTCTAAAGCCGAATAAAGTAAGCTCATTTCCTACGGGTTTTTTAATTTAAATATATCCTTTACCTCAGTGGCTAAGTCCTTTAATTAGCTCTCCATTGAGCAGGGAAAATGGTACTGCTTTTCCTCGAATTCGTTTTTTAGTTTTCCGGCTTTCTATTTTGGCCAGGAAAATGTGCAATTAGGGGGCGTCAAATGTGGTCAGCGAGAGATCGCGTTCCATCAACTTGTCCATGGCAACTTGTCAGCATTTCCGACCATCGCCATCCCTCCTTTTGTGGATGCTGTCACATTCGTGTGACAAATGCGCACTTGGCTTAATCAGATGGAATATGTCCTTTGTTGGGTGGGGGTTATAATCACTACCAGAATCAGCTTGGAACGCAGCCACATAGAGGCTGCCTTTTTTTTCGCAGAAGAGCTAGATAGGGTTTTGTGCTCCACTCTTGCCTCTAATTAGTAGCCTTTTTTGCCAGTTCTTGGTGCTGTCCTGCAAATGCTCTTTTTTGTTTTTGTTTGTCCGCGAGATTGATGGCAACTCATTTTTTATGCACGAGGCTGTCCGTCTTTTGCAATGCGAGCTGGACAAATGACTGGAGTTCTTGGTTGTTCTTCGGGATTATTCGAAAATTAGGAAGGAGCAAGAAGGTTTGCATTAATTAGCTAAAAACAAAAGCTCGTTATTTTACGCTGATGCAGCTCAAATCGCACGAAAAAGCAATTAAATGCTGCCAGGCTTAGAAAAGGGACACAAAAAGAGAACATTTGGCATGAAAATTGTTTTCGTATTTGTGCAAATATATGCATTTTCAATTGCATTTACCAATATACCTACTATAAATATAATATATATTTATAAAGTCCATATGGATGGGAAATGCTGTTCGTAACAATATTGGCAAAACTTTTACTGGGAATACGATGTGAACTGTTTTTCCACCTTCGATAGCTGGGAATTACCATATTTTTGTTGCAAAACGAGATAGAAGAGAACGAGGCACGTGAGGTGTTGCAGGGTCTGGAGGTGTGGAAATGCAATTTTTACTCCACGCTTCGGGTTACTTTGCATCCAAAGCCCGACGAAGATGCTAAAAATTGCAACGGAATTGCAAATGCTGTTGACACTTGCACAATGCAAACAATTGCCCGAGATCTCCAAACGTTCCGTTGCCACCTTTTCCTCTTCCCGATTTGCCTGTCATAAAATGTTCCCTCTTTTCCTTTTATTTTTTTTTTTGGTGGGAGAGAGGGGAGGTGAGGGAAGGATTTTTGCAAGTTTTTGAGTCTGGGTTTCCCTGGCAATTTCCATGTTTACGTAGGTTTTGGCAACACTTGATTGCCTTTTGGGCTTGGCCCAACGAAAGCGGAAAACTGGATAGCTGCCAGGATATTTTCTGCCACCTTTTCCCCACAGGCTTTCATTGGATATTCGTGCTAATAATTTTGATCGCCTTTATGTAATCATCATGATGTTGTGGCAGGCAGCATGAAAACGAATGTTTAATAGGTTCTTTTGGGAGTTGATATGCAAAAATATGACATCGAATTATCATTAGGATTTGTGTCAAAAATTGTGATTGAAAAGTTAATGAGATAATGAGGAGATATAACTATATTTTAGTAATGCAATAATATATAAACATAAGTAATACAGCATAATGATATGGACTTTTAATACATGATTAAGCTGATCTCAAGTCTTTTTGAGACCTAAGCAAATATATACATCTCAATTATTGCCATGGTTAAGACTTACCCCATTTCCTTCCAGTGTATATATGTATATTCTTGATGACTTTAACTAGGCTTCTCATGGTATCAGCGAAGTCAGCTTCTTCCTGGTTATCCAGATGTATTGCGTTGACCAGGTCTAAGGGCAATCACTATCACTATCACTATCGATGTAAACATTAAGAAGGCCACGGACTGAATGAGGCCAGTTCAGTTTCTGTATTTATAGTCCCCGAGTAAAGAGAGTAGAAGAGAACTGAAAGCGAGAGAGAATGGGATATCTCTAGCGATAAGCAGAAATCGATAAAAAGAAATAGATAACTTTAACTCTTGAGAAATATTCTTAATAAATATATATCGCGAGCACTATCACTATCGATGTAAACACTTGGTACCCCACGGACTGAATGAGGCCAGCGCCACGTCAGTTTCTGTATTTATAGTCCCCGAGTAAAGAGAGTAGAAGAGAACTGGGCAGGAGAGAAAGGGATATCGATAGGCAGAAATCAATCGAGAGAAACCGATATCTTTAGAGATACGCAGAGAGATGGACATTGAGAATGAGAGAGAGAGAGAGAGAGAGAGAGGAACAGGTAGAGGGATAGAGGCATAGAATTAGAGAGAGATAGACGGACAGACGAACATGGCTTGATCAAGTCGGCTGTTGATACAGATAAATGATGTACATAAATGCTCAGAAGTGACACTGGTTCAACATATGAGTAAAATTATTTATAATACCCTGCGAGAGTATCAATTATTATTGTTGATCGCCTTTATATAATCATGGATATGGGAAAGTGGATGGGATCTATGGAAACCGGATGTGCAATAAGTCAAGCACAAGTTCTTAAGCTGCTTCCCTTGTCCGATTCCGATTTCGATATTTTTGACTTGTGTGTGTTTGTGCAACATCTGCAGTTATAGTCGCCGCTTGCCTCCATATGCGATTTGGCTTGCAGGCGGCTGCGGCTCATAAATCATATTTGTATTTGGATCTCGTTCGCCCCAGCGCCCTCAACCAGCGCCAACCAATTTCCTCCGAGTTTTCCCGCAGCGACGACAACATTCAATCAAAATGCTGCAAAATCCCACAAATTTGTTATTCGTCACGTATCCAAAAAAAAAGGAAAGTTGAATGTGTGTAACTGTTCGGGAGGGGGTTTTCTTTTTGTTATTACTGTATGTATTTGTGTTGGGGGATATTACGTATACGCCCAGTCAAATGACATTTACCAAAAGAGTTTAAAGCCAGCAGAGGCATTTAAAGTGGCATAATATGTAAATATCGGAATAGAATAATGTGCATTACCCACTCCACACCAATCCAGCCCCCATGCGAAGCCAACATATGCTGTACATTTGCCAGAGAGACAACTTATCAAGTTTACACTCAACTGAATATTTAGAGTCGCTGTTGAGTTGAGTTGAGTTGAGTTCCCCTCATTTCATTCGGTTTTTTCCCACTTCCCTTCTGCGCACTGCTTATTAAATATTAAAATGATAAGGAAAAGGACGAAGGACGAAGGACGACGTACGACGGAAGGGTCTGGTTCTGGGTTCTGGTTTTTGGTATATGTGTGTATGTATGCATTGGGGTTCCATGTTCGTGTCTATCATTTGCTCCTGGCTTGTTTCTTTTTGGCTAAGAGGCTTTAGGCTTAAATCCTGGAAAAAAATACATATAAATCTAAAGAGTCATAGCGCAACAAGGACTTTTAGTGGGATCTTTGGTCTTGTTTTATATTCATAATGGTTTAATAACATATTTTTAAAATGCATTTTAGTGTTTTTCATGTTCAAAATTGGACTCTTGATCTGGGAGTTTTTCAGTTTGAATTGAACAATTTGATAATTCCATACGGGTATTTGTTTATTTCTTTAAGATATCTTGTGACATGAGTATAAATTAGTATGGGTTAATTCAATTGACCCGATTATAATTATATCTGTTTGTGACAGTGATTATTTCTTCTTCCTTTATTTCATCAAGAATCGTGGATAATTGAGAACTTATCTAATTAATCATAATTATGACAGTATTTTCAGTATATATTGGACTTGTTATCTGATGGTGTTGACGCCGAAAGTTTAGATTTGTTAATCCTGTTATAGAGTTTATAGAGTGTGAACGCATTATTACATTATTCATTCATCTTCTTCTTAACGTCTATCTTTTTGAATTCTTCTTAACGTGTCTTCTTGTCTTCTTGTATTCATATTGTTCTCAGCAGGTCTTTTATAATCATCAACAATATCGTCCTTAGTTATCATTTATAGCGGTTTGCGGTGGAATCAAGCAAAACTACGATCCGTTCAGCTCGGTACTCTTATTAATATTTTTTGGGACTAGAATACCGAGGTATTTGATATTATTGATGGACTTGGTTTGCTGTACTCAAAAAATAGTGGGTTGGCGCTTGGGGGCCACCTCCTCCGGCTTGTTAACTTCAGGCGGATTTTCAGCAGCTCTCTTCCTTAAATTGATGAACTTGGGGGCTCCGTCGCTATTGCCACCAAACTTTTTACCAAATATCAAATTCTTAGCCGACTCAGGATCTATGTTCATCATCTCGCGCAGTTGCTCTTGCGACACCTCATCGTTCTTGTCTGGAACTATATACTTGCGGATCTCGGAAAGGGCATAGGCCATGCGAGCATAGGACTCGGCCGGGGTGGCCACAGTGCTGACCTCCAGGAAGAGGTCCTTCTGCAGATGGGCATACCACGGATCGCCACAGTCGCGCAGCTGGTCCTCCTTGGCTCGATCACGCATCGAGTGGCGCCCCTTGATGGAGATTTTGCACTTAGTCTCATCCTGCAGGCGACGCAGAGAGTTTCCCTTGGGTCCCAGAATCTTGCCAGTGAAGTTGAAATTCGGATGCTGCTTCACAGGCACAAAGACCTTCTGGGTTATCTTCAAAGGCCTCTGCTGGTAGACATCGGCATAGAACTCTTTGCCCGGAATGCGGCCAGTGGAGTAAACACGGGCCACAGCTACAGCAACACGAAGAATATCGTTTAACTCACTTTCTTATTAAGATTCATCACATGAAAAATTTACCTTCATCGATTAGCATTGCGCATAAAGGGAACTCGGCGGACAGACGCTGGCGCTCCTTGTCCACATCCGCCAAGAACTCCTGGGCCACATCGTTTAGACGCGGCTGATGCTCATGGAAAGCTGGTTTTTCTGAATTATCGGCAGTTCCGTTCATTTTAATAGGTTATTTTTTCTTTAAATCTCACGAAAGACTGAAATCTGTATGTACAGTACTGACAACGTTGACTTTTTGGCTGCCAAACAATATCAATTCCAGTGACGGAAAACTACTAGCTTACTTTAATTGGCGTTTTATTTTTATTTCGAAACAATTTCACTTGGTTCTTTAAGTTCTTACTAAAAAATAAATAATATTTTAAGTAAATCTCACAAAATTCAGAAAATATAATAGTTCTCAAATTGAACGTAAAGTTACCAATCTCTTTAGTTAAAGTTTAAGTAAAAATTAAACATTACCTTTTTATTGTCAGGCGTTTTGTTCTCGTTTTTGCATTCTACAGTTCTTTATAGAGATTTGGATGACAACCATTTTATTCTATTAACAAGAAATGCCAATCTTATCATACAAAAATGTGACTCACGCTTAGTGATAAGTTCCTTTTTGGAATTCTTAAGACATTAATTCAGAGTTTTTCCGCCAACTTGACGCAGTTTCCTAAAATCAATTGTAAGCGCCTTTTTCAAGGGATTTTAGTTTCATGTTTAAGCCATTAAATGCAGCGTCATTACTCTATACCCTTCATATGCTAATATCTCCATTCATATTTACCATGTCGCAATCATTTTGTGCGCTGTTCTTTTATTTTCCTTTATTTTTTTTGTCTCGTTTTTCCTCTTTTTTTTGTGTTGTTCTGTGGCATTTCTTTAGCCTTGATTGCAAGCATTTGCATAATTTAAGAAGCTCGCTCTCCCAGTGTCTGTGAAGCTGTCTTGAGCTGGCAAAGCATGAAAATGAAAATTCCAAGCTTTTCCTCCTTGCCCCCTTCTGCTCCAAAGAAATTATCATATCTTTTGAAGCTCTGTTCTAAATTATTAACGAAATAAATAGCGAAGGCTGCGAAGGCAGCGAGTCTGCCTGCCATGGCATCATGGGAATATTGAAAAAGTTTCGCGTTTCCATTTACCATTTTCACAATTTTTCCATTGCAGAAGGAAAAGTGGAGAGCACGAGCTGGAGCAGGAGCAGTAGCAGTAGCAGTAGCAGGAGCCGGAGACCTACAAACCAGGATCGCAAGTCGGGGGCATGTCCACAGCCAAAAGGCTGGTGCTCTCGCTACGTGGACGCAAGAATTCGCAGGGCAACTCGGCGACCTCATCCACCCGCCTGGTATCCGCCGGCACCTCGCCCGGCCATGAGCTGGACGAAATAGCGGTGGTCTCGGGCACCGGATCCAGCAGTCACCACTTCTCCTATGGCGGCTGCATTGCCACCGGCGATGCGCCATTGCCGCGCTACTCAACAGGTGAGTGGTGGAGTGCCATCCATTACACACAGTCCACAGTCCCTGGCCCCCTGTTCCCAATTCCCTGGAAAATCTAGCACCTCAAAAGCAGTTAAGTAACGCCACCAGAGAATGTTGACCCACCACCACAACCACCACCACTGCCTAGTTCCAAACACTTGTGTGTGAAAACCTTTGTGAAAACCCCCTAATCAACCTGACCTGCATGCCGGTAGAAGCGTTTCGTTCATCTCATTTGCACCACTGAGGATCCAAAGGGGAACAAAGTAATGCCTTTGAAATTATATTTAAACATTTACTAGAAATTATCCGAATATAATTGAAACATGGGAAGGCTTCGAGTTCAATCTTCATTGTTATATTAGCATTCTTCTTCCCTTTTATGTATATATTCTCTATAAAGTTTAGTTTCAACTTATTGATTCAGGATCTTCCAAGGATAAGACATTAAGTATTCGGCGACGAAACCACCAAGGCACTTAAGGGTTTTCGCTACTTCTTTTGGGTTCTCCACACATATCCCGAAAAAAGTCAGTAGACAAATGTAGATTCAGTTGCTGGGACCCAGCTAAATTATGGAAATCTGTGGCCTAATGAAAGCGATGAAGATTTGATTTGACAAAAGCGCCTTAGCCGTGGAAGAGAACGGCAAAAGACAAACAAATAACAAACAATCTTGGCCAAAACCTAATGGCAGCTGTTGTTGGCCCTGCAGAATAAATCAATCAAATGACAAATATGCTTAGGCAATTGTCAAGCCAAGTGGCTGGCCTGGCCGGGTTTTTGCCCTAATTTCATTCGGAGGCTGCGGTCGCACACATGCGAGTTGTGGGGTGTGGTGTGTATGTAAGTGTGTTGTTTTAGCCAAAGCCAAAGCCGCAAAAGCGTCAGGGCCTTCGTTAGTTTCCTTGTCACATTTTATAGGCCGCATATGTTGCAGACATCTCTCTGGGTATCCAAGTCTCCTTGGTATCCTTGGGCTGCTCGCTTAGCAGCCGCCAGCACGTTCCTTTCCCCGGCTTACAGTTAATTTTGAGTGAAATTCAATTTATCATTGAGCGGGGCATAAATCCGTATTTGGGCCACTCGTTGGCTCGTTACGGACCATGGTACATGGCATACGGTGTATCCTGGGCGTAGATTTATTTCGGTCGATCCTGTTCTCTTGTCGCATTGTATTTGCCAGGACATTAGCAAACTGCCTTCAATTTGTCAGGCAATGAAACTTTGGCTTTTTGTAAACGAGTTCTGTCTGTATTCGCAATGCATTTAATGGGACTTAATGCTGCATTTAGAGGCAAGCTCTCTTGTTTATTGGCCAACACTGTAATTGACATTTATGGCCTATACCATGTCCACAACTTTAATGTTGACTTCAATGCTTTAACGCTCACTTTTCGGTGAGAATAATTTCAAAAAGTAGGATATATGTACATAGATGATAGACCCCAAAACGAAGCACACGAAAAACATGAGCAGGAAAAGTTTTTCCCCAACTTTTGCCATATTTTTATACAAACCCCCCCCCACCCCCTTCCGCCAATTGCAAATGCTTTCGACAATTTTTAGTACATTGCCCTGCTGTATATAGAATATATAGTATATACTTTGTTTTGTGTATGTGACAAAGGCAATTTTGAACTCCGGGAGGGAGGTAGTAGGCTTTGATCAAAGTTTTCTTTTACTTTTTTCTCTCGTGGGCTTTAGCATCAGTAAATTAAATTTGAGTTACACGCAAAATACGCTGTAAAAATGGGGAAAAGTGAGCAAATCTATGGCACACGGTCCTTGTTGAATCGATATGCGTGCGGTGTGTGTGTTTGTGTGTGTAAGTGTGTGCTCTCTAAAAGCTTGGAAAATTGAATTTGCCTGAACAATTGCCTACTTTTGCGGGCGCATCGATCAATGGCACGGAATTGCATTTATATATCTATTAGGAGGCCAGATAAAGCGTTTTTGCCATATTCAATTCTATCTCAATCTCTTCTTAAATGCGTTTTTTTTATGGATTTTGCGACTAGCTATTTGTGTGCTGAGAAATGCCTTTGTCCGAGTCACGTTTAACTGGAAACTGCCAAACGATATAGCCATCAACAATGGCCAGACTCTGGCTCTGTTTCTCTTTTGTCTTTTGTCTACTGTGTCGACTGTGTCTGCGTTGCGTTGTTGTGTTGTGTCCTGCAATAATTGAGCTTAGAGGGTCTTATGGCAGCTGCATCATTGATTTGCCGCCCGACTGTCAAAGAGGGGTGGGGTTTTTGAGGGGTTCCCCACACAGCTCACACCCCTTTAGCCACCAATCACCCTGGGGAAAAGTTTTAGCAAAACTTTCTCGTTTCGTTTTTCTTTCCAGCTTTTTTGCTTTGCATTTTACGTTTTTCGTTTTTCGCATTTTGTATTTTGTTGAATTTTTGCTTTTAGCCCAAACTCAAACCCGAAAAAGACTTCAGTGCCAGACATAGTTGAGTCGCAGCAAAACTTTTTCCATTTGCCAACAGAGTTCACTTCTATGGCAGGACACAAAGAGACAGAGCGAGAGAGAGAGAGAGAGAGAGAAAGACAGAGACAGAGATACGGCGGGTAGACGACAATTTTAAAGCATCTCCTCGCACTTGCACCAGGCAAAATTGCGCATGTATAATTAGTTTTATTTACCACCTGGCACACAAATTTTAATTAGAATTTATGCGTCCTTCTCCAGTGGCCTCAGCCAGCCTGCTCCTGTCTCTAATCCCTTTACTGGCTGACGGAACGCTGCTGCTTCTGCTGCTGCTGTTGCTCCCGCTGCAACTTCTTCTTTGTCTTCTAAGCCCTCTCTTTGGTTGTAAGAAATTTCCTTGGTGGCCGGACGATTTAACTTTGGCTAAAACGCTTTGCACTGAGCGAGAAAACGAGTTGAACAAATAGTAATTCGACTTGAAAGGGGAAAATGTTTTGAGAGGATTAAAGTGTGTTTTATGCTGACACTTAATACTATTTATATAAAAAAAAAGAGTAGAGGGAATTGCAGTTATTGATTTTTGTGTAAATAATAATTTGAATGCGATTCCAAAGGATATTAAAATAATATCATATGCATGTATTTTTTTTTTTTTTGCTATTTTTCTCATAAACTTTTTCCTTTTCTTGGCAGTGCAACTTTCTCATTGGCCAACATTGCAGTTACTGGCCATATGTAATTTGAGTATTTCAATTATAAAAGCAATTTGCCCCAGGGGTGGCTGAGTTTCGATTACAGCAAGCGTATTAGCTTACCAATAAGTTGGCCTAGTTGAGTGGCGGCTAGAACAGGGCGGTTTTAAGACCAAAATCCGAAAGAAGGGATATGGATTACTTTCAACTATAACCTCTCAACGATGAGAGCGAGATGGTAGCAGCAATGTCTCGAATTTGGTAGCAAACACAGGGAATGCAAAAATAGTTGCCGGCACTTCAGGTTGCCACATTGTTGCACGGCTTGCCGTTTTAATTGGCATTCGCGATGGCTGCCATCCAGCACGACGTTGCGAATACGCCGCGTTGCCGCTGCACTGCGCTGTCCACATTGTTGCCGCGAAGTGCACGGAACAACTTTAGCATCGGAGAGGCGACTGCGTGCTGCACAAAGGACCACTTAAAGTTGGCAAAAGGGGGGATTTGCTTTGAGCGGAATGAGAATGAAAATGCGATAGTATGCTGGAGAAATGGGAACGGGTATGAGCATGAGAATGGGGCTTAAAGGTCGGCGCCAATGTTGTTGCCTGTAATGCAATTACAAATGCAGGTGCTGGAGCTCCTGCCGCATTAGTTGGCATCCAGCCAGGTGTCATCCGAAGAGCGCTTGAATCCGTCGCTGGAATGGTTGACTTATCAACTAAAGTGCAGCATTAAAAGGAGCAAGAACAGAGAGAGACACCAGAAAAAAAATAAAAAAATAGAAGAGGACTGAAAGCAGCTAGTAAAGCGCTTCGCCCTTTACACATTTGCAGGGCCATTGAGCCGAGTTCCCTTCGAGGCTCCCAGCAAGCAACGTTATCTTCCAAGCCCTTTGAGTGTGCATGACGCAGACAAAGGGCATTAGAAATGGTCAGATAAGGAGATATGCAAATGATTTGCAGCTGGGAGGAGCGTGTGCGACTTAAGTTGAGTGCCCAAAGGCTTTGGGGAAATAGTTCTTTCACAAACTGATTAAATGGGCAGTTACTTAAAAGGGCTACTTTAACTTCTATTTGACAGAAGATTGCAAAAACTATGGCATTTTTTTCGGGAAAAATCTATTAAAGTGAGTCTTGAAGCTCACTCTTGTTCCAACAGGTTAATTTTACTTTAGAAATCTTTTATTTAAAAACCCTCTTCTAATTGTATATAAAATAGTTTTGAACAGCCAACCGTGCGTATGAGTGATAATCCTCTTGGGACATATTACTCATACGCACTGTTGCCCATACATGTCACACTACAAGTGATACATTTTCGAAAACTTTTGTTTGCCCCAACATATTCAAAGCTATTAAATGTAATTTTCGTTCTTAACTTATTTCTCTTCTCAACTTTATACCAATGAGCTACTTTAATAGAAATGCTTGCCCAACTTTTCCACTCAGTTGTCGTTGAAAGCGCTTCAATGCAAATGAAAGTGTTGGACCACACAAGTAAACAGAGCCACATTCAACACAGAGTGGCAGACATCAAACATTAAGCACTTAAGGCCATGAATTTGATTTTGGTCGACAGAGAGACAGACACACACACAGGCAGAGAGTGAGTATTGGACAGAGTTCATGCGGCGACATGTCGGGCATATCAATCACTTGCCCGTGCCCTCTGCCATTTCATAGGGCATAAACCTATTATTTTTCAACCGCAGCTCCTCCTCCTTCGGTTGGCTAAGCCTGCGGCAGAGTTCTACTCATGTTTTTGCCAACTCCGCAGCAGCAGCGTTGATAATTCGGTCAGTTTGCTCTCTAACCAGCCAGCTAGCAAGCTGGCCAACACTCTCCCAAACTCACATGTCGCTTGTC